CTAGTAGCGATTTTACACTCAGTTGACTTTTAAGCTATTCGAATTTGCAACCAATATTTTGGCGAAGAGTCTACACTGAAATATCAAAATGTCTCAAATATCTCTTTTTAATTTAATTTCTAACGACAAACAATTTTTTTTGTCCGGCCAGACTGGCTTTTTGTCAGGTCAAAACTTGTCCTTGTCCTGACAAATGACCTGCCTAAGGACGAAAATTATTTGCAGGCTTGCACACGGTAATTTTTTTTCAGCTAGAAAGAACAGCTTATAGGTAAAAGTAGGTACTATAGTTCGGTGATGTTATAATATAAATATCTATACCGACGTATTTTCCCAACTCCTAGACAAGGTTAAAGTAATACTTCAATAATGGACAACATGCAATCAAATCGAAAAAGACTTTTCATGACATGCAATCACACCTTATTTTTCCCATCAGGTCGGGATCTTCAACCCCAGCACTTAACATCCATTCAATACTGCTGAAGTCCTGGTCTGTACCAGTAGTAGCTCCTCCCACAGCACCTTCCAGCTCCTCAGGCTCATCGCTGCTTTGAACAGGCACACTGAGTGGCTCAGTCCCAGTGTGGGTTTGTGGAACACTTTCTGGTCTATCTGCCTCATTCAGGGAAGGCTGGAAGACATCCAAAAATAATATACAAGTGTAACAATCTAAATTTATATCTAAATGATTTTTCCCCTCTCCCACTTACTTTACACAGTACATGCGACAAACATGTTATGCTTAGAACTGCATCATGCCTAAGCTTAAACTCATAAATTCATATTTTCACTCCTTCCCCGAACTCTCAAGTCTAAAACAAGGGTTACAATGTAGATTGAGACCACAAGCACTGTAGGGGAATATGACGCTTTTCCGAAGTGCAAAAAAACATGAAAAACCAAGAACAAGAATTTAATTTTCCCTCCCATATTCCTGAACTACATGTAACAAGAAGAATGATTTGCCACTACAAAGTTTCAAGTAAAAATTAAAGAAGCTATGTACATCAACAATTATTGGGAGAAGCCTGCTTTATATCAGCAAATTCATAATGTTAATCTGTCTCTTTTATTTTAATTTTTCAGCACCTTTTTTCTGCATTTGCATTTGATTCCCATATTTTATTCACACTATGTAAGTTATTCTAGGTAACACCTACATATTGTACAAAACCTGTATATTATTATTAACTTGTATAATTATTCAAATTCATTCCAGTTGTAACTCACAGTGACAGAAGTTTGACTGTCGAAACATGCATTTAAATCTGAAAAGTGTTGTCCTTTTTCTAAAAGGACAATTTTCCAATGAAATACAGAGGCAAAGGTTTCTTTTTCAAATACAGCTTGGTGTATGTTTACAGAGTAAACCATTAATTTTTTTCCTACCTGATAATGGCCAATCAGGTCTCTTAACTGATTCAGTCTATCCCTCACTTCTTGCAGCTTCCTGTTTATAAAAGGATTACTGTTATTGTATTGTACTGTATGTACACGACCCGATCTGATGACTGAATATAGTAACATGTCTTAAATTCTAAATCACTTGGCTTAGAACTTTAGAATAGGTTTAAGAAAGGAAGCACAGTATTTTTAATTGTCCTTGTCAGCAAAAGTTGACCATTACTTGAGTTTTTCATGGACCTCCAGAGCCTCCAAGATCCGTTCATCATCAAGCTTCTGCGATGTAGTGGCTAGCGGTTCATCCTCCTCTTGCTTAGACTCATTGACACTGGGATTAGCCACACCACCAGCCTCTAAGGTTTCTATGAAGGATAGTGAAGTGAATATCATTCATGTTTGATGGTAATTCAAATGGATATCGCATCCCTCTGAATATTTTAATTGTTTTCCAAATTCAGCATTTAGACTGCGCAAAACAGTGCTTCAATCATTTGGAATAATGTGGGCGTGATACCTTTTCTAAGTTGCGCTTCTTTCAGTGACTGCAATTCTCTCAACAAGGTGTCCATCTGCTCTTTCTTTGCCTCTAAAACCATCAGCTTGTTCTCAAGCTCCAACCTCTCTTGAGTGGCATTTGCAAGAGCTAAGGCTGCCTGCTAGGATTGAAATTTAGTACTGTCATAACCCTTTGTCAACTACCCAGTAACACACATCACTTGCCAGTACCCTTGCATATACAGAACTTGTATAGTGTACATTGACACATCAGCTTCAACTTGCTCAGTCAGTACGGCAATGTCTCGGTTAGAGATTTTCCCATAAAGACCTTTTGTTTTCTTTCCACATCCATTTAACTGCATATCATAAATTGCTTCATGGCTGTGAGCTCATTTAGCAAAAAAAAACAACACAAAACAAAACAAAACAAAAACAAAAACAGAAACCTCACTGGGCTGGAAAATGATATTGTTCATCCTGGCCAGCACTTTCAAGAGGTTGGAGTACAACATTTCCCTTTCACTTGAACTGTAGACACCTTGCTTAAGTATGAAGGGACAAAAGAAGGTTAACAAAATTAAATCAAACCTCATTATCTGCAACCTCTGCACCAGTCTCAGGATTCCCAGCCTACATGTATATGAACCAGAAAGAAAAAATTAAATTCCATGACAACATACAAAAACACTGCATGCATATGAACATGTACATGAAACTTACTGTCTGAACCAAGAACAACATAAGTTTAACACCACATTGATATAAAAATAATGCCAAACTAACTTTACTACTTTTAGCTGTAGACATACTTGTATTGCACGTTCATATAAATCACTAAAACATACATGTACATTGACTTGATCTGCGGATGTTGGCAGAGGCTGGTTTGTCCTCTTTGCTCGATGGTTCTCTCTTTCATCTGTCTCTTTTTCATCACCAGAATCAGCAGCCCTCCACTAGAAACATACAAAAGAATGGAGTTCAGCTTACATGTAGAATGTAAACATATGGTCTAGACTAAAGCAATGATAAATACAATTATTTGACAATGCAAACCTATAGGAGGGGAGAGGAGGGAAAGGAAAGGGAGGGAACATGAAGGGAAGAGAGGGGCAGAGGTGCATGTGGTATGTACTCTAATTACCTCAAGTGGTCCCAAAAAGGGGTGGGCAATTACCATCTCTGAAAAATGTCTGGACCTGTAGTTTGCATTACCAAAGCAAAAAGATCTGCTATCACCAGGTAATGCTCACAGGACAATTTTTTGGATTCTACAAATGCATGTGTACTTACTTGCGAGTGCCCTTGAAGATGCAGTATCTTTGATATAATTTACATGTACCAGAAATTTTTTAAGGCCAAAAGACTACAGTCATCCCCCTACCCCAACTGAGATGCATTGTATCATAAGGAAGTGATAAAGAAAACGGCATAGACAATCTCTCACAAAACTACTCTTGAGGGCAGATTGGTCTCAGAAGGATAGGTTCATTCAGTTTGAGGATTTCATTGTGAATTTCAGACTATAGAAAGACGGAGGAAAGATCAAGCATCACCCTTGAACTACTACATGTCGTCCTTGCTGCATCATGCCACGGACTCAACACACTATGAACCATACACACATCATCAAACCATCACAGCAATAATTAGGAAAGAAAAGAAACTATGAAGGGAAAAAAATGTAGTAGACTGTATGCAACAAACTCTCACTCACTAGGCACAGCAAGTACATGATAGACTTTCAATGAGCAAAAAGAAATACATGTAAATGAAACAAAACTACATGTACATGTACATGTACATACATGTATAGACTGTACATTCTACCTTCTCTTTATGCATCCTAAGAAGGTTCACGAGTTCCATTTCTTCTGGTGTAAATCGGCTGTCATCTGAGAACAAACTAGCACCTGCTCTCTAAAACAAACATACACATGCATGTGATTGTAAGTTGAAATTTAATCCATTTTAATAAATTATTTACAAAATACTAATAACACTTTAGGGGCATTACAAAGATGAAATTAAATACATAATCTGTACCTCGGGTATTGTATCGGGATGCGATGAGGTTTGAGAAGTTGCAACTACACTTCTGCTTTGATCATCATCTTCCCCACCTATAGCTCCTGCTTCACCAGACACTTGTCGGCCCTTGGAAAATTAAAACAAAAAATGCTCTTGAGGGGAGATGGCAAACAAAAGATTAGTCTCATTTCAAGACTGGGTTTGCGTCAGCAACAAAAGTAAGATCATTGTATTTGTACCAAAAATTAGCCATGACTACAATGTAGCCATCGAAAATGTATTATGACAAGTAACTGTCATCTTTTATCATCAATTAAGGTAAGTTTGAGAATATTGCATTAATTTCATGGGGAGTGTATTTTGTATAATCCAGTATTGGATCCCTCTTGAACTGTGGGAACCATTCATTATTTGCAGAACGAGATGTCTGCTTTGGTTGAGTCTGGAATTTCAACTCTTATTCATTTTCAAATTTTGCATAGACATACCTCTTCCTCAGCTTCAGCTAAACGTATCTCTGCATCACGCTGCAAAGTCAGCAGAGCCGCTTGTCTAGTCTGTAGTTCCTTTAGCTGTCAAAACAATCAATCACCACAGCTTTAAGGGCATTTGCGCTAATTGTTTCTGCGCATCCTTACTGCACACGCAAATTCACATGCCACGTCATGCATATGAGCGCGCGCTAAGTAATAAAATGAACAATGACTTTAGGGCAGATGACCATTGCTATAGCTTTGCCTTGATTTAGTGATCTTGGATGTTCGGTGACCCCTATTTTTCTTTTGATGGATCATTTTCTCTACCGATTTTCTACGTTTAGCGCAAAAATGAAGAAAATCTATGGACTAGAAGTTTGAATTTTTTGCAGAATGCACTATCCAATTTCGCTCTTTTTAGCTATTCATTTATCTGTGCAATGGTTTCAAATGCCTCTTGTGGGGTTAAGTTTTGTTAAAAAGTTGGTAAGATTTGGAATTATTGATGCAACAGAGCCACTTCTACAAAATATGACTACGATCGTTTGCCTTGGTCGACTCAACATCAATATTTTAAACTACAAACCCCTGTAGACCATGCTGAATTACATGCACCAATTTTTCAAAATCAGGGTACTTTTCCACAGGCTTTATCTCTGGCACAAATTTGGTGACGCCCAATTTTTTTTGTTTTTTTTTGTTTTTTTTTTTTGTATTTCTGACACAAGTAACTCATTATCAGACTGCAGAAAAACATTTTAAAAAATCTATCGACTGGAAAATTTTCACGCGAACATCCTTAACAAGTTAGCAAAAAGTCAAGCACCTCTTCTAGGGCAGCCCTAATAGAGTATCAGAAGTTTTTAACATGCACTTTGAACTCAAAAAGATCTTAAACTTCTTAAACAATGTCCACACACATGTATAATATATTTTAACCATAAAATAATTATCTTTACAGGGCCTATACAAATTTCCATCACACTGAATGAGGATGAAGGAAATTGTCAATTAAAATAAAACATTAAAACCAGTATGGTAAATATATTTACTGTACTACTTTGAACTTTTAAGTCCAAACGACAAAAAAAATACATTGTACACAACTGTAAATACATGTATATGTATACACACATCTTTTGCTTGTGCAATTCCTTATAGGTGAATAAAGTGTGCATGGAGTGTTCCTTGGAGTTTTGGAGACAGCACCATTTATGTACATGTAGTAGAACACAAACAACTGTACATGTAATTTATGAGTCATAGACCCTTTTCATAACTGGCTACTAATTATAAATTCTTTTGTAAGTATTAAAATTAGCCTGACTGACCTCATTTTTGAGTTCATAATTCAATTTAAGAATTGTTACTCAAAAACGAGTTTACTGAGGTTAATTTAAATGCATACAAAAGAATTTTAAATTGGCAGCCATTTATGAAAAGGGTCTATACATGCATGTTTTTGTGTGAGTACTGTTCAATATCTAACACTAAATTTGGTTGTACACAGTACAGCTAAACAGTAATTTGTGACCTTCCATGGGAAAATATACATCAATGCTTTTCCGTTAAACGGTTAAAAACTAATGCTTAAACGAACGGAGAGCAAACGACTTTTCAGAGCGTTTGAACGACTTGGTTAACGCTTTGAACAGGCAAGTGAAAATTTCTAACGGTTTCTGAAAGCGTTCAAACGACTAGCTTGAATTTTCTCAATGTTTCTTCCAAACATTTTTTACAGGTAGCTTAACGATTTTTTGCAAACGGATAAACGATTGAATGGAGCATCTAACAGTTTATGAAAATGTTAAAGCGAATTATCTACAAGGTAACGAACGCTTCAATTTTCCAAAAGCAAGCAGATGACGTTTTAACTGGGTAAAATTAATATAAGCTTACACTGTACCTGTATCGAGATAACACTTCGAAATGATAAGGCTGAAGCGCTTGTGCAACTGGAATAGTTTATACTAAGTTAACGTACATACATGTAGAGTTTACATGGTTGTTAATAGCGTTTTATTACTTACCATGACTTCCATTCACAAAGCTCAAAGCTGAGCAAAACTCAGGGGGCGGAGACAGTATGACAAGTGCATTGTTTACAAAACCAAATTGACGAAGTAAGCACACCAAATTCACTCCAGTTACAAACTTAATACTGCCATAAAATTTGACTCTTCGATCAGTATGACATTCAATAACTTAAAGGAACATTTCCGGAATTCAATTTCCTTCTCAAAGTCTTGCCGAAACTCATAAAGAAAACAAGATTCGTCCACTGAAGTTTACATTCAGAGCAGTTAGGAATGATGACGAATGAATTTGTGCCCAGGCTACTCTGTGCATCATATTGTCATAGCAACCGCACTCTCCCCAGGCTTTGCTCGCCATTGATCGAAAACATGCGAGCATTATTCAGATTATTTTCATTCGGACGTTCACGCTAAGATATAATTTCTACATTGGAACAAAATTCTCCAATGCTGAGACAAAAAAAAA